CTGGGTCCAAAAATACCCAACCTGACAGATCAATAGATCTGAAGAAGGGTAGGAGGGAGCTCATATGGTTCACTGATCGGTCTCATCCTGATTCATCCTTTGCCCCAGTCAGTCAGCTGAACTATTTTGGAACACAGAATTATTCAGAAGACTGGTAGTGGAACTATTCACAAGCAGCCTAAGAGATACATCACAGGATCAACATGGCATGGAGTATTGGGCTTATTCCAGCTTCAACCATGGGCCCTCTGCAGCACTGGAGGCCTGTGACTCAGCTAGAGGAAAAAAATGGCAGAACTTTTATTTTATGGCAGATCCCAAATATCCAAAATCAATTAAATAATGCAAGGAAACATTACTATTATTACTGAACATGGCAAGCAGCACCTGAGAATATTTTGTGGAGCATGCAAAACAGAAGAATAGACAAAGCAATGCAACTTCTACCAAGCTAATAAAAAACAGAAATTGGCTTACTTTCCTAGTTTAAACCAACCTTTTGTGAAAAGAGCTAATTCTATTTTTGGAGATAGTGGTAACTCTGCTGTTGTTTTTTAAAGAAAAAGTCTACCACTCTTTTGAAATAACAACAACAACGTTGGAAGGGACCTTGGAGGTCATCTAGTCCCCCCGCTCAAGTAGGAAACCCTGTACCATTTCAGACAAATGGCTGTCCAGTCTCTTCTTAAAAACGTCCAGTGTTGGAGCATTCACAGCTTCTGGAGGCAGGTTGTTCCACTGATTAATTGTTCTAACTGTCAGGAAATTTCTCCTTAGTTCTAGGTTACTTCCCTGTTTGGTTAGTTTCCCTCCATTGCTTCTTGTCCTGCCTTCAGGCACTTTGGAGAATAGCTTGACTCCCTCTTCTTTGTGGAAACCCCTGAGATACTGGAAGACTGCTATCATGTCAGTCCTTCTCTTCATTATTAAAACATGTTTAAATCAGATCTAAATTGTTTCTGAACAATGCTTGATTTGTATAAGTGAGTTCATGTAATTTCTTATTGGTGCTCTACCAAGTAATACTCAGACATTAAATGGATTGGTGCTTCTGTGAAAACCAGGTGCCTGACCTCTGCAACCAATGCCAATTTGGATTTGGAAGAGAAGGTCATGCAGTCAGAAGGGAGAGGACAAGTCTACAACAGCTCAAGATGAACAATCAAATCTGAATAGATTCCAACCCGATCACTTCATCGCTAACTTCTCTGATAAGATGTAGCTGAATGTTTGTATGGCAAGGCTTGCATTAGGCAGAAGAGGCAAAACACAGCTTTAAAGACAACAGGTAGAAGTTGTAAGCTGCCTCTGTTGTGGGCTAAAGATGAAAGAGCAGCATAAGGAGACATATCATCTAAAGACATTGGTGAAGTGTAAGAACAACCCCCAAAGAAGCATGTCTTCGCATAGTGAATAATTAACTTGTGAAATTCTTCACCATGACACATAGTAATGGACATTAGCTTAAATGGCTATAAAAGGGGACTGGATACATTTGTGGAAGACAATTATTATGGTCTTGAAGACTTGTGCCCCTTATTGGCTGACTTCAAGTGCTTGAGCAAGAACATGATGTGGAAAGTGCAAATGATTCCATCCTTCAGGGTACAACAAGCTGTGCTCTATGTTCAATACCAGCAGCAATATTTTCGTAACTTACCCAAGCACAAGTCAATTTGAATTTACAGTGTGCATTTATAGTGAATGCCAAACCTTTTCTAACATTTTATACTCCTTAAAAGCTTTTAGATGGAGCAAAGCAGCTAAGTCAGCATGAGTAAAACTAGGCCTAATGATTATGCAAAAAAAAAAAAAAAAAATCAATTTCAAAGCTTATGTTAAAAGAACATCTTTACCTAAATTAATGTAGTAGAATGAAAAACATTGTCTTTGAGGGCAAAAATGATTTTCTTCTAAACCTGCTCTCAGATATACAGTAATACTTATGACTTATTGTAATAAGCATTTTGTAAAAGCATTTTGTGATTCTGAAGATTCAAGAAGGGGAGCAAAGAAAGACTAAAATTTTGTTGTTTGTGTGTAGTGTATGCACAGAAAGCATTCATAAACATTAGATTCAGGACTTTTACTGTAATGGTGAGTAGGAATAATTGTTTTCCAAAGAACATTTCAACATCATGCCATGTCCACTCCCCAAACCCTACAAAGCAGTCTGAAATTGGTTTATCGGGATGTTTTCAACCTTGGAATACGGAGAACTCTTGGATAACACAAGCATTGAAAAATCAATGTTTTCAAATTCAAAACAATTCAAATTCGAAAATAAAACCAACCACTTTTTGCAAGAACCATTTAATCAGTGGCCCCAATGCCTTTATCTCTGCTCCATGAAGGGAAATAAATTATTAATGCCAATCCATATTTTCACTAAAGGCTGCATTTGCCTACTTCCAAAGGGAAAACAAGTAAATCTGAGCATGTGTAATAGCATAAAGCTGCATGGCTACTAAAGTCAATCATTATCCCTTCTATTTAAAAATACCATTTTAAGGATACTGTGTGTTCTAACAATTTTGAAAACATGTTCCTAACGCTTAACTCCTAATGGCCATAGGTTCTAAAGATGACTAAAGAGGGGAACTACAAAGAAGATGCATAATTTTTAAAGTGCATGATCTAGAATTCATTGCAAAGTCAATTTTATTAGGGCTAACAGATCTCATCTGCAAAAATCCGGATGACCACTAGACACAGAAAGCTAACCCTAGTGTTTGGTTTATCTACTCTTTGATTAGAGTTTGCAACCAAGACATGCTAGTCCTAAACTTCAGGGAAAATTTGGGAATAGGATGGAACATATGGGGCACGTGCATTATGCCCCACTAGCAATTCCTTAAAGATGTTCCTGATACGAGCTCTGAATCATGCTTTTCTTTTCAATGCGAGATCATTGCACAGATCCACTCCTAATATCACTCCTGCTGACCCCAATGCCAAGGCAATCTTGAAGGTCCTGGAGAAGGATTTGAAGCTTAGGAGTCTGGAAGCAGAACAAGAGTTTTTTCCAGTTAGAAAAGTTAATCTACCAAATATATATATTCATCTTTCAAAAATAAAGACTGCTTTCTGTCCAGCAGCACATTAGCCAGAAGACGTCAAAACAGGCAAGGTGGCATCTAACTGCTGCAATTAAAGTCCTACTCTTTCATAATGCATGCAGTATTAACAAACATGCAAAAGAGACTACAACTGGTATTTTGTTTGTTTTGACTTCCTCTGTATACGCTGCTCTTTTCCTTCCTTTTTTATAATGCATTACAGTGCAGTGAAGCCAGAAATAAACTTGTTCATCAGCTGAACTCAACCACCTCCTTGGAAATACAGACCTGGCAGAGTCCTATTAGAGAAATGCTTTGTGTTAAGTAGATGAGAAGCATTTTCACTGGATTTATGCTAAACATAATCCATATGCATGCAGGAAAAGAAAAACAGGAGCTTGATCTTCATTGAAATGACAGTAATTATATAAATGTGTATTTTGTCTTGTATCATTTAACTTCTGTTGGAATGCTTCTGAGATTACCTTTACAGACTATCTAGTACAGGCTAAGTGATTGGCATCAAATGTGCGTTAAGACAAATACTGAATCTAGTACTGTCTCCTTTTTATGCTTATTTTGTCAAACTTTGCCCAAAAGAGATGGGGGGAGTACACACACGTATTCAATAATACTGTTTTTATTTGGTATGCACTGATATCTAAGCATAGTACAATACCTACTTTTTCTCCATCATAGATACACTGCATTGAGCTTGGGATGAGTAAATGGCCCAAACTGCCCTCTAGATGCACTTTACTGATTAGTTTCCACATATAATTCAAGTTGCTAGTTTTCACTATAAAGCCGTTCATGGGTCGAGGCCTGGAAGGTACCACTTTTTTCCCACCGTTTTTCCCTGTCCAGTAAGATCTGGTAGGATTGGCATGCTCCAGGTCCTCTTGGCAAAGCAATATCATCTCACGGCATCCTGGAGCTGTTCTTACCTTTTAGAATAGCTTCTGAAATCTGCATCTGGTGTTATAGGAAAGCCTGGAGTACTTTCAGCAGACTCCGGGGCAGGGAGTTTTGACTGCACTTGTGACATATGTTTGAACATTGAACTGTTGCTCACTGTTGGTTTCCTGATTTATCTTTTTTGTTAGATTTTTTTTCAAAAATATATTTGTATCATTGTACATTGCCTAGAGTTGGTTTGGTAACTGACACAGTCAGTAATTCAATTAAATGAAAAGAACTTCCATGGATGAACAGAACGGACTTGAATTTGAATCTCCCCGCTCCTGGTCCAACTCCTTAATCTCCACATTATGGTTTCTTTCATAATTATTCCTCATGACTACTCTGAGGCCCTTAATTCTGCAAGATGAAATGTGTCATTTGAGGCACCAAATATTTAAGACACTATGTGCTATTTTGCATTGTGATATTTAATAAATTGTCACACTTACAAATACCTTCAGTATCTTATGTCTTCTGAGCCTTTACAGCAGGGAAAAAAAGAGGAAAAGGACATATAAACTCTTCAGTATTTCTTCTAGTCTAAGTTGATCCTAACACTTGTTAAGATAGTAGTTGATTTGCTCTGGGTATTTAAACTTCATGCAGGGGCGTTTATGATGGTTCCCTTGTTGAATACCTCTTTAGAAATAGGAAGTTTATCAGTTTAAGGCATTCTATCCTGGTTCCTGCTGCAGCTTCCCTTATGGCAGTGGTGGCGAACCTATGGCATGGGTGCCAGAGGCGGCACTCAGAGCCCTCTCTGTGGGCACGCGTGCTGTCGCCCCAGTCCTAGGCCTTCAGCTGGGATTTCTAAAACCTTTTCGCTTTAGGCCTCCGCCACTGTGTACAAAAAAAAAAAAAAAGGTTCAATCAATCAGTCAATTTCAACTTCTCGTGGGAAAAAAAAAGATCTTGCAAAGTTGGAATTGATTGAACCGTTTAGTCCCACCCAGTCTGTTACCACTGCAGCTACGCCCACCCAATGGGCCACACCCACCTGATGAGCCACATCCACCCGGCACCTGGCATTGCATAAGTGGGTTTTGGGTTGCAGTTTGGGCACTCGGTCTCTAAAAGGTTCGCCATCACTGCCTTATGGTTTGACGTCTGAAATGAAAGTGTATGGCCTGTGGCTCATGAAGAGTGGGCCATCTACTCAGAGACTCTCAGAGCTATCAAGAGTCGCTGCTGAATGTTGAAGTGGCACTAGCATATCCCAGCACTGTCTATACGTTATAATAAGGATTGCCAAAGGTTCATACTTCTTTGCTGTCCTTTTTCTGTGCCCTCTCTTTGCAGAAGGCCAGACCTTTGAAGCACAGCACAGCACAGCGAACCAAGAAGTCACAATATGTTCCCTCATTTCCTAATTCTCGACTGTGGCCAAGCCCATGAAGTACCAATCTCTCTAAGAAGCATCACAAGACACACCTCCCACGGCTGCTACCTCTTCTTCCTGACCTTCCATAGAGTAATGTCTCTTTCTGGCTGCTTAGTGAGCAGTCAAGTGACTTTTATGGTAGCAAAGCTTCCAACTCACTTGTTTGCAAGTTCTTTCCTGCTCACTCAGCAAATGAAAACATCTGCATAGTTTTATACTCTCCTGACCTTTCTAACACTGATGAACTGCTGGATTCTAACACCAGCAAATAAGCCTGTAAAACCGCCGTTGTCCTTTTTTTTTTTTTTTTACTCATTCTGGCTTCCTACTTCAGGCAGGGTGTTCAGCCAACTTCCTGGTTCCTTTTTTTTTTTTTAACTCAAGATGTCAAAGCATCTTTCAGCATATCGTCTGGATTTCAAGCAGCCTTCATGAAATTGTGCTGCTGCTGCTGCTGCTACTATCCCTGCAATAGGACCAATAAGAAAAATGGATGTGCAGGTTAACAGATATACATTTGCTATAGAAGTGGCCTGGATGGCAAAGTATATTACAGGTAAGGGAATCAACTTATTTTACACTAACAATCACTAACATTTCCTTTGTTGTGTAGGAAATAAATATAGCCACTTGTTTCTGGGCAAGCCCATTTCCCCCATCCATGTTCTGGCTACTTTCTTTGTAATACCCCCCAAATATTTTTTATGCCTGGAGGAAGCCTTTGAGTTGAAAAAGGTTGCACATCCCTAATGTACAACCTACTGCTCTCTTTAATGGGTTGAGGAAATGCAGGTGTGGCCTTTTTCATCCTCCTTTCATCTTATTTTTATCTGGAATTCCTGTAGTTCAGGCATGTCAAACTGCCGGCCCGTGGGCCAGATGCATCATACTGAAACCGTACACACCCCATTGCCGGCAATGGGGAAAAAGTCATGATACGTTGCGCGACGTCATGTGATGTCGCGAGTTTGACATGCCTGCCGTAGTTCTTTTCTTGTCTTGTCTTTGTTTATCCCTGTTCCTTCCCGTCTTTCTGCTTCAGCTCTGAAAATTTCTTATATTTAGTGATAAGCAGATGGTAATGGATTAGCTGAGTTATGGAAGGGAAATAAGACACATTCATTATTTACAACTGCTTCTTTTGCTTTGTAATTCTGAGATGACTCAGAGGAATGACAATGAACTGATTAAGTTTTAGAAGGCAAACTGTTTCCTGATACTGTGGAACTCATTCTCTCTGTAGGCTTCTTATTCACTCAATGCTCTGCAAAAACAATAACAAAAATAAAAATGTTAGACATAGACACATTACATATTTCATCAGACATGGCTAATGCTTACAATATTAAGGCCAAACCACACAAGATGTGAGAGATCCATTAATAGATATTTCAATTATTTTAAAAACTTGAAAGCCAGTGCACTTAACAAAGAATTATGAAGAATCAAGGTTGTAATACTAGAGGAAGGTAGCTACTCTATGCTAAAGTGGGATTATCTTTGTATCCTTACATGACTAATAGCTGATTTAGAAATAGATAGACAGACAGACAGACAAATAGATAATCTTTATTGTCACTTTTTACTGTGGGCACAATGGCACACATTAAAAATGAAATTTAATTGCTTGCTCTCAAAGTAAATAATAAAAATAGGAAGTAATAATTACTGTTTGCACCAACCTAATTCCAAGCCTCTTAAACTGCCGGCCCGTGGGCCAGATGCATCATACTGAAACCATACACACCCCATTGCCGGCAATGGGGAAAAAGTCACGATACGTTGCGCGACGTCATGTGATGTCGCGAGTTTGACATGCCTGCCGTAGTTCTTTTCTTGTCTTGTCTTTGTTTATCTTAATGGTTTTTTTTAATCGGGGGGGGAGGGGGAAGTGCAAGTCTAATTATGAATCTTCCAAGTCATGCCTCATTTGTTGCTTATTTTTAAAACATTCAAGGATCTAAAATTAAAAGCAGAAATACCCTTACCAATTAATAAAAATACTGTGATATGGTGGAGGATTTTCATTTAAAACAAGTTCGCTTGTTACCAAGCTAGGAGTTATGGTCTGCAGTGAACAATCAGAAAAATAAGGTGGTGGGGGTGGTGGAAACATCATTACAGTATCTCCTGTAAAAGAAAGGGGATGTTTTAAAATCAAAATCTTTGGATTTACTGTTCTTTGGATCAGTAAATAAGACAGTAAATAAGACAGTAAATAAGACAGCCAGGTTTCCAAAGTATATTTCACTAGAAATTAACCATGAGTTGGAATGTTTATATCTTTAGACTATTTTCAGTTTTTCAAAATAATTACAGTATATTTTATAATGTACAAGTAATCCTTGACTTATGGCCACAATTGAGCCCAAAATTTCCATTGCTAACCAAGGCAGTTAAGTGAGTTGCACCCTATTTTACAACTGTATTTGCCACAATTGTTAAGCAAATCACTGCAGTTGTTAAGTGAATCATGTGGTCATTAAACAAATCTGGCTTTCCCCATTGACTTTGTTAGTGCAAAGCTGGCTGTTGTTATAAAACATAAATATACATGTTGGGGTAAGAGCCTAAACGAAACCCAGTCATAAGTCAGTTTTTTCAGTACTATTGTAATAGTCACTACAGCAGTGTTTCTCAAGTGTTGCTGGCTGTGGAATTCTGGGAGTTGAAGTCCACATGCCTTAAAATTGTCAACGTTGAGAAACACTGCACTACAGGAATAGTTGTACGTTGAGGACTACCTGTACTGAATATAATTGAAATACAATCATAAAATCCCCCAAGACATACTGCCGTACAAGAATATTTATATAGAATGTTTATGTATGACTATGACCAAATTATGTCCTTATTTAAAATGCAGACTCACTTGGATTTTATACAGTTTTTAACTGTACAAATGAGGCTACAGATAGAACCTTAATCATCTTACAGAGAAAGTAGACTTATATTACATATACAATACCTAAAACCATACCTAACAGAAATATAAAGCAACTCACAAGAGACTTAGTAGGCTCCTGTTTTTTATGTCTGCCTACATTCTTTAAAAAAGCATACTATGCTGGTAATAAACGTGATTTATCACCAGTAATCTTCCTATAATGGAAATAAAATATATAAGGATGTTTGACAAAATAACTAATATAATATATTAGAAGGAAGGAAGGGACATGAGATCAAGGGTTGCTTCTAATAACCGATAAAAATATCCGGCTGGTTTATTTACTTACCTACTGTAACTTGAAATGATTCAGAATTCAGTTGTTCTTCACTGACTGAAGATTCTTGGATGAGGTTTAAGTTTTGTTTCTTTTTAATGTGAGCTATCACAAAGAAGCATAATCCAATAAGCACAATTAAAGGGCCCATAGTTTGAACAGAATGAAATCCACAGTCCTGGAGTTCAATACCAGATGTATTGCTATGGTTAAACTGCTGATAGCGCCATCCTTGACTGCATCCCGGAATCCATATGCCAAGGACACTAATAAGCATCCCACTTGTTAAAAATAAAAACCCAAAGACGAGGAATTGAGCAAACTGACAATTTCCTCGACAAAAAACAAATCTATATACCTGATCATCTTGCAATTGCACATCTCTGAGATAATCTTTGGCTCTTGATTGTGCCAAAATTATACAAACTAGTCCAACAACTGCAAGCAAAGGCCCAATGATTTTGAAAGCTCCTTTACAGTCACCAAAGGCTCCACTTGGACATGTTTGCAAAACAAACATTGATAGCAAAAATCCAGCACATAACAATGTAATGCCAAAAATAAAAAGGAAAGAGATAAATTTCCTAGGATGTCCATTATCTCCTTCCATTCCAGAAAGGGAGCGAGGAATTGAATACATTATTATATGAAATCCTCCAAACTGAAATAGAATATGTTTTCTTCTATAAAATCAGAATGACATAACTCTTCGGTAGGCCTGGAAATTAAAACAAAAAGATAAATATAATTAGGCCATAAAAGGAAAACACACTGATTATCCTTGACATAAAACTGCGAAGCTGAAATAAAATTAACCTATGCCTGCTTAGTTTGAAATATTATTAGCTATAGAACAAAAACAAAGAACAGTCAGAAATATGAGATATCACAAAAGAAAGTCAGTGGAAGTCTTTGGCACATTCTGCAAGCGAATCTGCCTTTAATAACAGCAGTAAAAGGAAGCTCAGATTAAAACAAGTTTTACAGTGAACAAGAACTTCCAACTCACTGCTTCTTTCTCAGTATCAGCACTATTAGGTAGATGAGCATAACTAGGAAATCATCTCCACAGGGAAACTAAAACTGCTTTTATTGAGACTGTGTCACAGGTCCGCACTTTGCTACAATGCCTATTTATAAGCATCTCTCCAGACTGACTGCATTCTCTTGGGAATGGTCAGATAAGGCTTGGGGGAGATATGGCCTGTGGCGCTTTCTGCTCTGCAAGGACTTAAACTCCCCACCCCTACTCTAGATGAAGATTCCACCACAAATTGGCCATTAACAAAATCTTAGAATTCTGATTTTTATTAGAAAATTCTAAGGTAATCATACTTAAATCAATCTCAAAGAATTACTACAAGAATAAGCTCCCTTTTTATGACCCTGTAGTTCCTATTCAGGTAGAAACGGGGCGACTGGATAGCGCTAAACATTTACTGGCCAGATGCCCTTCCTGACGCCTACATGGAGTTCGCAGCAGATATTATTTCTTTGTGCCCCAGAACAGAAACATTGATTAGGCTCTCAACCTTCCAAGCATCAAGTGAGGATCTTCACCACTAGGCCACCACACCACGCTTACTACAAGAATAATATGGACTAACTAAGCAGGTACACAATTAAAATTCAAGTAGGGAAAGAAACTTTCTAGACTGGAAGGGGAAAGAATTTAGCCTAAATAAGGAGTCAAAGAACATCATCTTACTTACTTCTATTAAAATAAAATGCAGGAACTTGGTTGTATATTAGTCATAACACTAGTTAAATACAAATAGTCATGCCTTTATGTCTTTCAAAATTTCTTATATGATAAAGTCTTCTTTGCATCAAGCTTGCTAGCTTCTCATGTACTTTCCTTGGCAACAACATGGAAGTTGTCTGACAGTTCCTATATTCTGTGTTTTTGTTTTTACTTCCCATTTTAGCTCTGATTATTTCCCGGTGGTCTCTACTCTAGGTCAGTATGTCTGGACCATAATCTGCCATGCTGATTCAATATGGATTAGTAGATAAATGTTTCCAATTTACTAAGCTAAGGCTGAGAATGTCAGGCTGCAAACCACCCAGCCAATTTCTATATAATCTAGATTGCTTCACTTCTAGCTTAGTATTTTAATTGCAATACACTGGCTCTCTTACATATACATTCTGTCTATCTGCCATCCATCCATCCATTCATATTTTCGTAATACATTGAGAATCAGGGAAAAAAGAATACAAGCAATTCATGGTTGTGGAATTAACCAATGAACTTCTATGCTAGAAAAACAATGTGTATGTTTACTATGATTTCTAAAAGTGAAATCATTGTACAGTTAACATTAATTAGCCTGAAGTTCTGTTAAACATTCTGTTAAACATTCATAAGAATTTGATAACATTCTCAAAACTATCACTATTTTAAACTTATTTTCAAGAAATTCACTGGTATGATAAAATGATATGAAATATATTCACAATTTTAATGGCACTACATCTGTAGAACATATTACAGGAAGAGGTTAGGTATGTAGAATGCCAATGCTTTATCTTGATTGTCACTATTCCTATACATGCTTATCCAGAACCAGGTTCAATACAATTGGCTCCCATGTAGGCAAGTACAAGATCACAGCTTAATTTAGCCAAGAACTAAAAATATGAAACACGATTAGCCTTCAGAATACCAACAAAATTAAAGTCAAGCTTTAAAAATCTTATAGACTACAGTATATTGCCTATACATTATAATTGCAAAGGATTTCCATTTGTTTAAACTGTATGAAATATTAAAATGATGTGAGCCAAAGAATGTATACAATACTCTGCAACAATTAAGTTTGCAGAGTAAACTTTTTATTCCATCCCAAACAGAAAAAGATCTAAATGACAGAAGAGATACTATATACTTCTATCTTCAAATAAAGTGGAAGAACAGAATGTGTAGTTTTCAAAATACACACTGATAGTAAATTAGGCTATATGTATTGCCATAAGCCCCCTTTATGGATTACTGCCTTGTCGTGGCGAAGGGGCTTGCGTAACTCAATGAAGCTATAAGCTATGCCGTGCAGGGCCACCCAAGACGGACAGGTTATAGCAGAGAGTTCTGACAAAATGTGATCCACTGGAGAAGGAAATGGCAAACCACTCCAGTATCTTTGCCATGAAAACCCCATGGACAGTACTAAAAGGAAAAAAGATATGACGCTGGAAGATGAGCCCCTCAGGTCGGAAGGTGTCCAATATGCTACTGGGGAAGAGCAGAGGGCTAGTACTAGTAGCGCCAGAAAGAATGAAGCGACTGGGCCAAAGCCGAAAGGACGCTCAGCTGTGGATATATCTGGTGGTGAAAGGAAAGTCCGATGCTGTAAAGATTTTTTCTCCATAGGAACCTGGAATGTAAGATCCATGAATCAAGGCAAGCTAGACGTAGTCAAAAAAGAGATGACAAGACTGAACATCGACATCTTAGGAATCAGCGAACTAAAATGGACAGGAATGGGTGAATTTAACTCAGATGACCATCAGGTATATACTGTGGGCAAGAATCCCTCAGAAGAAATGGAGTAGCCTTCATAGTCAATAAAAGAATAGGAAAAGCAATACTGGGATACAATCCCCAAAATGACAGAATGATCTCAATTCGAATCCAAGGCAAACCATTCAATATCACAGTAGTCCAAATCTATGCCCCAACCACTGGTACTGAAGAGGATGAAATTGACCGGTTCTATGAAGCCCTACAGCACCTTATAGAATTAACACCCAAAAATGATGTCCTTATCATCATGGGGGATTGGAATGCTAAGGTAGGAAGCCAAAAGATAACCGAATAACAGGCAAGTTTGGCCTTGGAGTACAAAATGAAGCAGGGCACAGGCTAATAGAATTTTGTCAAGAGAATACGATGGTCATAACAAACACTCTTTCCCAACAACCCAAGAGACGGCTCTACACATGGACATCACCAGACGGTCAACATAGAAATCAGATTGACTATGTACTCTGCAGCCAAAGATGGAGAAGCTCTATACAGTCAGTAAAAACAAGACCAGGAGCTGACTGTGGCTCAGATCATGAGCTTCTCGTTGCAAAATTTAGGCTTAAATTGAAAAAAGTAGGGAAAAGCACTAGTCCACTCAGGTATGAACTAAATCATATTCCTGATGAATATACAGTAGAGGTGACAAATAGATTTAAGGAACTGGATCTGATAGACAGAATGCCTGAAGAACTATGGATGGAAGTTCGCAACATTTTACAAGAGGTAGCAACTAAAACCATCCCAAAGAAAAAGAAATGCAAGAAAGCAAAATGGCTGTCTCAGGAAGCTTTGCAAATAGCTGAGGAAAGAAGGGAAGCGAAAGGCAAAGGAGAAAGAGAAAGATACAACCAATTGAATGCAGAATTCCAGAGAGTAGCTAGAAGAGATAAGAATGTCTTCTTAAATGAACAGTGCAAAGAAATAGAAGAAAACAACAGAATAGGGAGGACCAGAGATCTCTTCAAGAAAATTGGAGATATGAAGGGAACGTTTCATGCAAAGATGGGCATGATAAAGGAACAAAATGGCAGAGACCTAACAGAGGCAGAAGAGATTAAGAAGAGATGGCAAAACTACACAGAAGAACTATACAAGAATGAGCTTAACATCCCAGATAACCACAATGAGATGGTCATTGACCTCGAACCAGACATCCTAGAATGTGAAGTGAAATGGGCCTTAGAAAATCTGAGCAACAACAAAGCTAGTGGAGGTGACAGTCTTCCAGCTGAGCTATTCAAAATCTTAAAAGAAGATGCAGTAAAAGTGCTACACTCAATTTGCCAGCAAATCTGGAAAACTCAACAGTGGCCACAGGATTGGAAAAGGTCAGTTTACATTCCAATTCCAAAGAAAGGCAATGCCAAAGAATGTTCAAACTATTGCACCATTGCGCTCATTTCACATGCTAGTAAAGTTATGCTTAAAATCCTACAAGCTAGACTCCAGCAGTATGTGGATTGAGAACTACCAGAAGTACAGGCAGGATTTCGAAGAGGCAGAGGAACTAGAGATCAAATTGCCAACATACCCTGGATCATGGAGAAAGCTAGGGAGTTCCAGAAAAACATCTACTTCTGCTTCATTGACTATGCAAAAGCCTTTGATTGTGTGGATCACAACAAATTGTGGCAAGTTCTTAAAGAGATGGGAGTACCAGACCATATCATTTGTCTCTTGAGAAACCTATATGCGGGTCAAGAAGCAACAGTGAGAACTGGACACGGAACCACTGATTGGTTCAAAATTGGAAAAGGAGTCCGGCAAGGCTGTATACTGTCGCCCTGCCTATTTAACTTATATGCAGAGCACATCATGAGAAAGGCAGGGCTAGATGAATCAAAAGTTGGAATTAAGATTGCTGGGAGAAATATCAATAACCTAAGATATGCAGATGATACCACTCTAATGGCAGAAAGTGAAGAGGAACTAAAGAGCCTCTTGATGCGGGTGAAGAAAGAGAGTGCAAAAGTTGGCTTGAAACTCAACATTAAGAAAACCAAAATCATGGCATCCGGCCCTCTAAATTCCTGGCAAATAGATGGGGAAGAAATGGAGGTAGTGACAGATTTTATTTTTCTGGGCTCAAAGATCACCTCAGATGGGGACTGCAGCCAAGAAATTAAAAGACGCTTGCTCATGGGGAGGAAAGCTATGGCAAATCTAGACAGCATTCTAAAAAGCAGAGACATCACCCTGCCAACAAAAGTGCGCATAGTCCAGGCCATGATTTTCCCAGTTGCAATGTATGGCTGTGAAAGTTGGACCATAAGAAAGGCTGAGCGCAAAAGAATTGAGGCCTTTGAACTATGGTGCTGGAGAAGACTCCTGCGAGTCCCTTGGACTGCAAGGCGTTCAAACCGGTCAGTCCTAGAAGAGATCAACCCGACTGCTCTTTAGAAGGCCAGATCCTGAAGTTGAAACTCAAATACTTTGGCCACCTAATGAGAAGGAAGGACTCACTGGAGAAGAGCCTAATGCTGGGAAAGATTGAGGGCAATAGAAGAAGGGGACGACAGAGAATGAGATGGCTGGATGGAGTCACTGAAGCAGTAGGTGTGAATTTAAATGGACTCCAGAAGATGGTAGAGGACAGGAAGACCTGGAGGAATGTTGTCCATGGGGTCGCGATGGGTCGGACACGACTTCGCAATTAACAACAACAACAACAAATTGCCATAAGCAAACTATCTGCCCGTATCAGGGAGCTATGAATAAGATAAAAATCCTATCAGCCAATGTTATATATACCTTTGCTATATATGACAGCAACTCTCTTATATAGCAGAAGCTGAAAATGAGGAGAAACAGAAACAATTGTAGAAAGCAGTAATTTTGTTCTTTAAGAAAAGGTGCATGAGCACTGATATCTGAAGCTATTCTTAGCTATATTCATCATACAACATATATTTGTTTTATGCTAAGTCAGCAAAAAGCCATTTAAGAGCAAATTCTTGTCAGCAGATATTTTTTGTAAAATGACTGCATATCTTTTTCTATCCAGATTTTTTTTATGTACCACTACCTCATTATGATGGTAAGAATGTCAAAAGTGTCAATCTATGCTTGTCGACTGAACACCAAACACATTTTAGTCTATTATATTGTGTGACTTTAGCATGGATGTATTCATATATGTATACATCTTTACTGTTCAGTGTGTCATGGAAACTTATAAAACTGGGTTATTTTAATTAATCATGGCTAAATTGATCAGGTGCAAATTATCTGAGAACACAACCTCTTTTGAATAATTTTAGGATAATCATATCAGGTTTTTGGAATAAAATGAGGCTTCTTACAATTATGTTTTATGTACTCTTATCTACTCACAGTTTTGAAGGATTGGATTCCATTTCATGAGATGTATAAAGAGCAATCTTAGTGTTTATACTGGTACAATAGGAAATCCAGCCTCTGAATAAGAAAGGCAGCCTCATGCCAAAAAGTACCACTGGAAGCAACAAAACATACAGTACGCAGAGACACAACTGGCAGATAGCAGTAGTCCAAAGACATAGGACAAGCAGATACCACAGTTTTCTGGAATGGTTGGATCAGCATTGCAACATGAACATTTATTTGCAGGGAACAGTATCTGAAAAATGGGGCACTGTATGTTTTGATGTGGGAATTTTTCCTCACTGGAATACCACTTGTGCTAAACTAGGGCATCCACCCACACAAGAGTGAAAAAAAGCATCCCCAATTTCTGGCATTCCAATTCAAAAGAACCCAACCCTATCACCACACTGACAAGCAGCTGCCCTCTCTTATCTGATGCTCTCCAGATGTATTGGGCCAAAATTTCAATTTCCATCACCCCATCCCCTCTCCAGGCAGATGCTCAATGGCTATTGTGGTTAAGGACAAAGAGTTATAGTGCAGATGCAATATTTGTGGAGCGTAGATAACCTGTTTGAAGACTAACTTACATGTATGGAATAAGCTCCTCACCTTTCAAAGTAAAAACCAAAAACCCCACCAGTTCGGACAGGTTTTTCTTTTTGTGGCTGCAAGCGGCGTTGGAAAAGGATGGCGGCAGCGGGAAGAAGCTGCAACCAAGGAATTACGGCGACACGGGAGCAAGCATCGGCTTTTATTGAGGGGAAAAAGAGCTTCTCCGCACCAGCCGCCATTCCTGCCCGCAAAAGCCCAGCCGTTCGTTTCTCCCCGGAGGGGAGGCGCCCCGAAGCTGGAACTAGAAACCTGGCTACGACTACCTTACACCGGAGAGCCTCTTCCTTTCTCGACGGGCTCTGGGTCGGGGGTCCGGGAGGTTCAGCGTTTTCCTCGGGCTGTGGGTGCCGGTTTGCTGACGCCCGGAGTGACCTTGAGCCGCAACGCTCCCGCGGTTTTCCTCCCCACTTGGCTCCTTCCTCTGCAGCCGCTGCCGAATCTTTTCCCCAGTCGAGTCGACAAGCCGCGCCGGGAGAGCAAATCGCGCGCGCCCTCTGGGGCGAAGCTCCTTCCCAAACAGGCGGGCCCAGAGGGAGCCGCGGAAACGATAGAAATCGGGCTCTCGCGGCCTCTTCTCCCTCCCTCCCTTCGGATGGGGAGGTAGGAAGGCGGCATTTTAAAGCGTGACGTGCATGAGCGGAGTTTACAGGAGCAAGCTAGCAATTTAATGCTCAAGGAAAAACTTTTAAGAAGGTGCATCACTTCCCCAAGAAACACCTTTCACGTTTTTCGGCGGGGGGGGGCAGAGGGGGGAAGATAAATACTCACTATGTTCAATGCAGAAGGAAAGACTTATGTACCAAATTCAAAAAAATACTTCCAACTTTTTTTCTGCCTCAGGTAACACCAATGTGTAAAACATTAAACTTGGATAATTGTTGGTTCCTTTGGACAATTTAGAAATATTAAGTGTTGGTATGACAGATACCTGTAGATGTTAGTTGTAATTGAGGCAGGAATTTCATTATAATTACAGCTGAGGAATCCCAGGAGGAGGAAATCCCAATGATAGTTCATTATAAGAGGAATATGTTGTTTGCTTATGTGGGCCCCATGAAATTGCTTCTCTGCATGGAACTGATGCCTAATTTAGGGGATTTTGTTATGCTTAAAATCATTCAAGCTGCATGTGAAAATTCTTCAGTTGTGTACAAGGGAAAAATTTCTTGGCCTACATAAATCAGAACTGCTGCCTTGAATAATAGAGTGAAATATTTTCTTTGAGTTTGGATAGGAAGATCAGGCATATATTTAATAAATATTTAAAAACAGTTCAATTTGGAAGATGCTAACACCAGCAGATATCTAATCACTGCAGTTCTCCAATTTTACTTCAGCGATAATTATATTAATTTTATATCAGGCAAATACTGATATAAATATGTAATTTTCTAAAATGACATGGTTATAGATACAGAAATTGTTTATTTGGCACTAAGTAAGTCTAGAGCATTTTCTGATAGAGGTTTTCAGGAGAACTATTGTCCTCAATCATTCGCAAGAAAACTGTTTTGGGACTTTTATTTTTCATTCTGCTCTAGTTTTGGGCAAACTGTAGCAAATTTAATTTTGGACTGTGAATGATCCATTTTTCTACTAGAAGCAATTCTCCCCATAGCTGTGCTCAAGTGACTCATTATTCTAGAGCAGTGTTTCCCAAACTTGACAATTTTAAGGCATGAGGACTTCAACTCCCAGAATTCCACAGCCAGCAACGCTGGCTGTGGAATTCTGGAAATTGAAGTCCACATGCCTTAAAATTGTCAAGTTTGGGAAACACTGTTCTAGAGGCCACTTTCTGCATGTTCACACAACCTCATCTAATCCAGCCAATGCAGCAACATGCATCTATGGCAGGGCTCTTCAAACTTGGCCTTTATAACTTGTGGACTTCAACCCCCAGAATTCCTCAGCGAGGCACACAAGTCATAAAAGGGCCAAGTTTGAAGACCCCTGATTTAGGTTTCAGTAGTTGGAGAAAGGTTCTTGATTGCAAAACTGCTCACATACTGTACTTTTGTATCAACTTCATGGATAACAGATTGTACACTATTGGATTACACTGAGTATTTTCAGTATAGGAAAAAACCATTGGGGAATTACAGTAATTAGTTTACATTTTAAAAATAAAAACTTACTACGTTCTTTTTGTAGCTACACCTCCAATTGTTTTCCCAAATCACAAGGAGATACAAATTCATGTAAAGAAAAAAATTGAGGGTGGTGAGAGTTTAGCCATTTCTTTCTTTCTGTATATAATGGGGATGAGAGGATTTTTCTTATTCCACAAACCAGTGAAAGGAAACAGGAACAGACTATATTTTTATTACATTCTGATCCTGGTACTAGTCAATTAAACAGACAGCGAGCACTGATGTTGTCTGATAGTAGTAAGCTCACAAGCCTATAGCCATAATAGTGCTCAAAAATATGTAGAAAAGGAATAAATTCTAATGGTAAAGCAGAATCAAATTACATTTTATCTGAAGACTGTCCATGGAATGCTTCAGGATAATATATGAAAGCATATAAACAGCAACAATCAGATTGTTATATATTACATGTTTATTATAGGTGCAATTTTTAAAACATTTTTGTAAAAGATCAGATGTATTTACAATTTCTATAAGATTTATATTGCTCTAATTTACAGTTTGTAGAACCTGTAGACCCCTCAGATTTGTGTTTACAGATTCTCCCAACAGACAGCTACAAAGGCGATATCTTTATAAACAAGCAAGATCCAGCTTGCTACATGACATTTCCACCAGATAGGTTTTATTTATACACATCTATATCTATATTTAGATATAGACATTAAAAAATTACCGTATATGCCGGCGTACAAGGCGACCCGGCGTATAAGACGCCCCCGTCTTTATCGCCGAGCCGCATTCCTAGAACGTCTTATACGCCGGAAACTACCAGCATTTCCGGCGTATAAGACGACTCGGTGTATAAGACGACCCCCGTCTTTGGCGACGATTTCAGCGCTTGCGGAAGTCGCCTTATACGCCGGCATTTACGGTATATATAAAGTTGCATGGCTTCAAAATGATAGCCTGCACCCTTTGTGAATGTGTATTTGAGAACATTTGGTAGTAAGGCTAGAAAGTGCTGAAATTTAGCACTAATTTAGAAAAAATACATGGTTAAAATGGAAGATAAAACAGACTGACTTTCAAAAGTCATGGAACTGTTCAGTTTTTGATTGTATTAGCAGATTACAATTAAGAGTCCATTAAAAGTCTGTACCATCTAAAATACCAAGTTAAGTTAAAAATTCTATCAAAATGTATAAAAATTCATGTGTAGTGCTCTAATGGAATTTTAGATTTTTATAAAACAAGGCAAATATGTAAAAATAAATTTCTGACTGCAATTCTATAATTAGTTATTAATCTATGAATTATTCATGCTTTTCAGTATTTGTATTTATGTCTGAGAACATTTACAATTAGATTAATTTTTGGTTAAAAAATATGAGACTGAAGAATTTTGAGTGAGAGGCCAGAGCTGAAAATCAAAAATAAAGTGGCTTTGTTTTTCTTAAGGAAAAAAAAAGCTTAGCTGCCATTTTTTCCCATCCCAATGAGCCAGAGTATCTTGTATATTACAATGTCACAATGTAGTAGTATCTGAGATATTTATATCCCAGTTAAAGAATGAATGTTGCTGGCTGCTGAAGGTATCATATCTGTCACATGAAGTGATGGCAAAGGTTTATTTAATTTTAAAAGCAAAACAAAAGAAAATAATTGATCCATGTATCTTTAAAAATAAGACAACCACATCTCAGGTGTCTGATTTCCCCCACCCCCAAACATCACTGATATTTTCTCTCCACTTTTGAAGATTAATGGTCTCACAAAAGGGAGGAAACAAATGTCCCATTTATCCTGGGTATTCATTTACTTTGATGCCAATAAAAAAAATCTAACTTTATTTGTAGTGTGCTAAGGATTTATCAAAATTTAGTGGCTATATAGAACACTGACATATTAATCCACTATTTTATTCATTAGAGTATTGTCACTGAGTTAGTGATTTTCATGTATGCTTTTGTTAGGAACTAGAATTTGAAAAAGTGTTTACGCTGTGGTACTGCTGACCATACAATTCACCTGCCCCATTAACTATTCACTTTTGCATTTACTCTCTTAAGGCATATAGATAAGTTCTAAAAAACAGGATTTGTATTAAACTTATCTAAATGTGTCATTTTCTTTGTGTGAGGGCTATTATCTGCCTCTTTATTTGTGGTCATAAAATATTTATTGAAATTATCACTAATTATTTTTGTTTTACTCAAAACAGATCTTTAAAACAACATTGCTGCTCACAAGCAACACTTAAATTCATTCTATGTTTGAAAACATGAAATTCAGCTTTTTGTAGCTAGAAGAGGGAAATTCTACACTTTTCAGAAGTGTAGCATTTTTATTATTTTAAAATTTACTGCACTTTCAGAATTTTACACATCTTTGGTGATATTTTAAATGTTGATACTATATGGTAACTGACAAAAGTTAAAAGGTTTCCTTTGTAATGGCTGAATTTATTGCATTTAACCCAACAGAAGTTATTTTAAAGGCTATTTTCTCTTTTGATTTCCAAATGCCAGATTATATCCAATTGTGCCTATCCTCCAGTGAGGTTGGCTTCTCCTTTCCACTTTAAATGCCTCATGACCTCACAAAATCTGCACCAGAAGTCCCGAAGAGCCTCCCTAGCAAATTTGAGGGTACATGGAAGGAACACAACTGATTCTTCCATTCTGTAAGCATAAAATTACTTCCTTCAAGTTTACTAACTGGAAGATGTAGATAGTGAAAACAAGAAATGAGAAGCACATAAACATTTGACAGGCACAGCTTTGAAAAGGCACAAACATTACACATTTCATATAAAAATAAATAATCTACAGCATTAATTAAAATTACAACTCCCATCATGTTAACTAATGGCAGGAGTAAATAACTCTGTTGTACATTGCAATTAAAAAAACATTGCACTTTGCATTTTTAAAAACCATCTGCTATAAAACACTGGTCATTTAATTATGTATGATATATGGAAATAAAGTTATTTTTATAGATAATCTCTAATAAGATATGACACATGAATATACAAGTGTAAAAACAAAAAAAATACTTTGCCACTGTTAGGTTTATGGAATGGCAATATTGAAAATTGAAAAATATACTTCAGTAATATTTATAGACAGTTAAAATATAGTTTTGTTTAAGGTATCACAAAGCATCACACACTTTAAATACCACACATAACTGCTATTTTGGCTCTGAGGCTACATTACTACTAAATATTTCAGTATCTTGTTTCCCAATATTGCAACTGATTTTCTATATTGTTGGAGTTCATTTCAGTGCTATTTCAAAACAGAATATTTTTTTAAATTGACTTATTTTCAAAAGTGCCTTTTGTTGGGTATAAACTCCAAAACTATGCAATGTGTTTTCAAAAATTAATGCATGTTAAAATAGTGTTGGAAAGATAGCAAGAGAATGAATAAACTTCTTATTCATTGGAAAATAAACTAGTTTTCTTAACAGG